CTGCTAAAGATGCATAACAATACATCTCTTACATTAATCTTGCTTAAAGTCCCAAATATATGATTACTCTGAATTAAAAATGCATAAGGTGGTGTTGTATACATTCTGTATGGTGCAATATGACATTATAGTAAAAAATTTCCGAAGAACCCCCCCCCCCCCCAAATACACATAGAAAAAGTGTTATGGAAAAGCACTGAGGAAATCTCATGGTGCATAAAAAACAGCTTCTCATGTTTTGCCAGCTTCATTTCTAAGAGGCTTTTTTGATATATGTCAAATTCAACATCTGTAGAAGTGCTGACTGAAGTGATTAAGTTTGTTTAAAAATCACTTTTGTTCTAAAGTACTTCAGCAATTGAATCTAAACATTTCTTCTTTTCATTGTGAACCTGGAGAAAAATCAAAGTAAAATAAAAGAAAGGTGATTTTGAAAAACCCTTATTATAAAAACAAATAAGCACTAAGAATATTTTATGGGTCATGTGTGCAGAACATACGAAAAAGGATATTGAACAGACTAGGCTTTCCTTGAACTATTTGCTAAGGAAAAGCATATCGACACCGTAGGCTTTAGGTATCTGATTCAATACAATACACATCCCTAATGTGAACTTCCCAAGATTGATCACCTGGATAATCTCAAAAAAGCCAAAAGGATTTGGTCCTCGTTAGCACTTCGATGGGGGCACAGGAATACAGACTAAACTTGGAATTCCAGAAAACATCCCAGAAAAAGGCAATGGTCAACGACTTCTGCATTCCTGCCAATAAGTCAATATGGACATGTCTGTAAACCCCAGGAGCTGAGCTGAACTGAAGACAGACTTCTCTCCTTCACACACAAAGGACATTTCCAGGCTTCTCTACTGTGCAAAAGGACACTTGGTAGTCTTCTTCTCTCATATTCTAAAGCTGAACTAGACATGTAAAGCAATCTCATATTTCAGTAGTTCTCAAATTAAAAAGCAGAATCAGAGGGGTACTTAATATTTTACACTGTAGCCTAAAAAACAAAACAAAACAAAAACAAAAAACAGAAACAAAACCAACCCAAGGGTGGAGATAGTTGAATGGATGGACTGCAACAAGTGGAGGGATATTATGCTTTCAAACCTTTTCCATGAAATATCTTTGATTTTATCAAGAGTTCCTTATGTCGGCAGTATGGATATTCTGAGTTTTCCACGTAGCCCTGCATATACCTCCCCAATAAACTCTGAAGGATTCCTGATTCCTGATAAAAGTGTGAATGGATGGGACATGAGATTTCCGATTTTTAAATCCTTTTTCATGCAAGCCTAGGTTGAGGAGGTAGTCACCCATGGCTCCATGTTTTGCTGTTTTTTTTTCTATGATATGGAAAGTGAGTGATGGATGAGGACTGGGTGGAGTGTACCCCAAACTGGACAAGAAGGCCTGTAAGACTTGGAGTTTAGAGATGAAAAGGGCTGTGGGCTCTTTTGTGGGATGCCATGGAGTCAGTGGGGATCTGCTCTGAGATGGAAAGGAATTGATGCTGAATAATTGCAAGATGGTTGGAGATGAAGGGATGTTTGGAACAAAGCTTGTAGGAACGGAATCAATATTTGGGCACCCCATGTATCTCATCTGTGCTGGGCCAGTATACGTGTAAATCTGTGTTCCCACCCATGAGTCTGTTGAGGCTCAGTGGAAAGTTCCAGCACAGATTAGGGACTACATTCTTTCCCAAGTGAGCTTGGCACCTGCTGGTACTGGTCACAGAGGAATACACCTGGTACTGTTTTGGGGTTCCCAATTCATCTGAATTTTGTCTCCAGAGTAGTGTTTAGTTTTATGAATGAGGGAAAGTGAGGGTTGAGAGTTGTTTTCCTTTTGGATTCATGGTGCACGTTAGTGCTTGTAAGAGGACTGTCTACAAACAGCTTGACCTTTGAGTTAGTAGTGCTACTGTTTGGCAAATGAAACTAATCAAGTATTTGGGAAATGTGTTCTGAGATAACTAGGCAAAAGTAGTGAACTATGTAATGAGGTGTTGCTTTTTTCATTCTCTTCTTCTTGGAGGATTGATTAGGTGAGGCTTGACTAACTGGGTCTAGACATCTGCCCGGAACGGCTAACTGGGGGAGAACTATTTGGCTCATAATTGCCTGAATGCTGTTTTGGATTAGAACTGCCACTCTTCCTCCACAGAACTTATTGAGTTTTCATGTTCACATCATGCTCTGGCCCCGCCAGGCTAAGATCGTCATGCAAATCCAAGCATAATTTATGGCTTCAGTGAAAAAAAAACAGCAAGTGATTTGATGACATGCATGCTGAGAATTTTTTTTAAAATAAAAACAAGGTATCATTAAAAAACAGTCTATTCTAAAGCCATGAAACTGCTTCAAAAGAGGTGCTTTGGCCACAAAACACCTCTTTTTGAACTGCTAAAGCTGCCACAACTATTTCCCATTCAAGCAGTTGTTTCACAAGTTGCTCCTGGCAATCTCTGCATTACATGTTCTGAAGTGGCCCTAACGTCTCTGCAATTCCAGGGGTTCTGATTCCTGTAGAAATTAAAAATGATTGAAAGGAAAAGCTAAAACCACACACACACACAAAAAAAATAAATACAAACTCTTGAGTGAACAACTTACAGAAATACTTATTTACCTATCTGTCATGGCAATTTGTTCTAACATTGCAGATCCAGTGTTTGTCTTCCAGTTTCCGGATATAGAAGTCCTCCTGTGGAGAAAAAGAGATGCTAAAGAAGCACACAGATCTTTTCAATTTAAGTTTGTTATTAGCTGTTCACTTATTAGAAAAAAATTGTTTCCTAATAACAAGTGTGAAAATAAACTTACAGAAATATAAAATTAAGAAAAAATAATGAACCCCCCCCCGAAAAAAAAGAAGGATGTAATTTGATTTGATCAAGAAAGAAGACACTGAAAAAAATAAATGTTTTCTGCATTGAATCAACTTGCAGTCCTTTTAACAACACAAAGGATAAACTTAAGAATTTAAGTTCAATGAAGCCAAGTTAAAAAAGAAAACATTCCTGCTCAACTTAAATAGAAATCTGAATATGATTGATAATTGGTATTGTGTTAATAATTATATAATTTCATAAAGAATGATATGATTAATCATTACATTGTGAGTTCTGAATCTTTAACAAGTATTATAAGTAAAACCTATGTGCTTCTGCATAGTATTTTAAGAGAAAAATTATATGAGAAAAAACAAATAGTTTCCTATATGTACTTTTGTGGTGTTCGTTTTTTCACACTGTGTCACTTCCTTGAAACATACTACTAATGTATTGCTATTAATACCCACATGTCTGAATCTGTAAACATCTGCAAGAGCTCTGATACTGGAAATATCCAGTTACCTATAGTTTAGTTAATTGACCTACTGGAAATATCCAGTTACCTATAGTTTAGTTAATTGACCTACTGGAAATATCCAGTTACCTATAGTTTAGTTAATTGACCATTAATTAATAATCACATAGGCAATAGGAGGTTACGCTACCAGAGATTTTGAAAATAGGATTGAAGCTGTCAAAGTAGCTGATATTTCCCATCCCAGCCCTTAAACTAATTATTCTATGTTTGTGCTAAAATCACAAGTATACACACACACACAAAATAATAATCAAAATCAACTATGGAACATCAAGCTACATATCAGAATAATGTTTTATGTTGATTCTGAGTATAGCTATGCATCAAGTGTTTTCATATTTAATATGATTTAACTGTAAAAGCCAAAGAACATTGTCTCAAAGGTTTTAATATTCTATCCTTTGAGAAGGCATACTAAGAAATAAAAATGAAAATTAAATTAAATCTATTCACATCTCTGTTTGAAAAATGCACCAATTATTGAATGCCAGCACCAGGGTCAATTCTATGTACATATATGAAATAGAGAAACTAGAGGAACAGATTAATCACACAGTGCTATCTTACAAAAACACTTCAAAACAACTACATCTCTAACCAAATTTGGGTGAATCTGTGCCATTTACAGGGACATTAGTCCTGCAAAATTAGAAATGTTGGGTTTAATTATTAAATCTATAAATAGAAATAGGGCTACCTGATTTGGGCTGTAAGACTCCACATGTGGCAGCCCCAGTAGAAATAAGAAACTTATCTGCTACATGAGATTCTCCCCAACTCTGCTTTTTTAAGTCCTTAAACTTTCTTCCAAGCATGTATACTGTATATTAAGGAAAGATGTGTTCAAAATATGTATCTTTGAAAAATTACACACAATAAGAGATATGAAAATTGGTTTGCTCCTTTCTCACATCAGAGAAAATGGGATGGAATGTACCACTGCCATGCTATGCTGATTATATTAATACTGACCCTTATATACTTGCATCCTTAGTAATATCTGCTTATCTTTCTTTCCCACTCTTAAGGAGTTGGTATACCGTTAATTCCTCTGATTTTTTTTTTTTTGAAGTGTGGTAAATATCAGGGCAGTGTACGCATAAAAAATGATTCAGAAAAATTAATTGAGACCTGCAAGAATAGCACTTTAGGCAGTGTTATTGTTACTATTTATTAATTTCCTGTTGCTATCCAAATGCACCGTTGATCTTGGTGTTCGTCACCGACGACAAATTCCTTGTATATATTTTATACTTGGTCATTAAAGTATAAAACTTTGTATTGTATTTGTATTGTATTGTATTAATTAAAGCAGCCTGTATTGTTTTAGGCTTCTGTACAAGCCCTCTCCCCGTACCCCACAGCTTAAAGGAATTGATTCTAATGTAAGTCTTAAAACTGCCACATCTCTTTTGGGTTTTTGGGGGGGGGGTATTCTTTTTTTGGGTATTTCAACAAAGGTTGAAATACTTTTGGATCATTCTCAAAGTGCTTACGGCCCTGGGAAATAGAATTCACCAAGAATGAGGACAGATAACATAGTCTGAAAAATCTGGTACCAATTATTTTACTTATGTTCCTGAACTGAGGTTTTTTTCAGTTACTTGAATGTATTTGAGAGTCTTTTAAAAGTCTCTTGGTTTATGACTCAACATAAATATTATAAATAAATAATACACAGGAACCACCTAAAATTAATAAAACAATGTTAACTACTAACAGTTGGATGTGGATAATGTTTAATATAAATTAATAAATCTTCATTGAAAGCTAAACACTAGGCCACAATCTGCATTGGATCCTGAGGGTGGGGATTGTATATAGACATTTTTAATACTATGAAACCTGTGCTCCCATGATCTGGATTTCCAGTGGGAGATTCTTTTGAATTCAGAAAAAAAGGAATAGTAACTAGCTACATATTTAACACTGAATGAACATGGTGAATTTCTTTTCAGTCATTTAAACAGTTCTAAAAGGAGGTGGGCTTCATAGTATATCTGTGATGGAATGGACTTATGAAGGCCAGGCTCAGGGAGATAAGCGTGTTCTTAGCCC